AACCGTGTCCCACCGCCGGCTTTCCAGAAGGGACTTTGGATGGAGTTCAGCCATGTCTACATGTACATCAAGAAGAAGTACAGACAGTCGCTGACCATCGATGACATGCTGGTTGTCCTTACGAGCAACCATCGTTTCATGATGGAGATCAAGGTGGCGCCAAAGGGGACTTTGGTCGGGGGAAAGAGGCCGTACACGCCGATGCGACTCAAAGCCATTCAGCATCACAACGACTGGTCTTACCAGAACGTGGAAGAAGCGCTGCCTGAGCACGAGCGCTTCATTGTGCTGGATCCAGAGTATGGCGTGGCTGAATACAACAGCGGCAAATTCCCTCGTATGCCAGTCAATGCCCATGGACGTGTCGAGGACATTCAGCCGACGATCCTCTACCACTATACGCACCATGCATCGATCCAGGATATCATCAACATGGGTTTGATTCCAGGTGGCAACCGTACCGGTGACATGTATACGTTTCTGACGAAAGAGGACCCATGGAGCATCAGCACGACAGACTATGCAGCAATGGCATCCACTCGGCCAGTGTGCATAGCTCTCGATTTGCATATGATGGCAGTACATGGACATCGCCTCGTGGAAACGACGGCCGGCACAATTCTTTGCCCTGACTGGATCTCCTGCCGCTATGTCATGTTTGTGTATGACATGTCGAATGCGTGCTACTTGTATGCCAACCACGTGTATGCCCATTACCGTGCGATCTTTCAAAAGAAGAAGAAGGCATTCTTTGAAGCACGCAGCGGGGGACCGCTTGCCGGAGATGAAGAGTTGATTACGTCAAAGCTGGAATCTTCCACCAAAGACGTTCTCGATGACTATGAAAGATGGTGTGGCAAGGTGACCACATTCCATCCTTTCATCTTCGGTGGTCAGTATCAGGTGCAGGGTGTCAAGGATCAGATGAAGGCTGGTAAGAATCTGCCGGACCTCAATGTGCTCGAGACAATGTATGTCACCCGGCGGCCAAATTTCCGGGCGAATCGCAACAGCATTAGCCCCACGGAGATGCTGTCGAACTACAACCGGCCCAGATTCGACTTCAGAGCCTGTGATCCGTCGAAGGGGGGTTATGGCAAGACGCAATGGCTTGTAGTGGAAGGAGTTCAAATGCCTGAGGGGCACTGCCCTACTTGTGAACTCCATTAATCACTTTCGGCACGATGAGTTGCGGCAAGCGCGGTACTTTCTTGAACACCGCATCGGATCTTTGCAAGGCCGCCCAGGTCATTCGAATGGAAGAGATCGCCTCTGAAATGGGCGTCGAACTCTCACTCGATATGGTCCAGGAAGATCGGCTACAAGGAACCGGCATTCGCAACACGCCTGCGGGGACGCATGGCCATGATCCTAGAGCGAATCGATCAGGCATCAACATCCTGAAGACCAATGCTCGGAGCCATGTGAACAAAGCGGACAAGATGGGCATGACCATTTCGCAGAGACAGTTGACAGATCCTCTGTACGCCTTCAACTGCGCAGCTCAACATCTTTCACCGCTCTGCATCAGCTTCTTGGAGAAATTAGCAAATGCGGTCATTCCGGACCCTCCAAGAACACATCAGATGATCATGCAGGGGGTCGGCCATCGCTATGCTGGAAAGCTGATCTACATCAACGATCCTGAGAAGGTGGGAGAGGCAGACATGAGCAAAGATTTCCTGGTGTATTGGAAAAACAGACTATACCGACGAGGTCTTTGCAGCAAGCTATGCCCAGAACACAAAGCGTCCACCGATATTGGGATTCCACTCTGAGTGGAAGACTGATGAGAAGGATCCAGATGAGCTTCTTCAGCTCCTGCTCGACTTTATCGCTGAGGACATCGCCTTCATTCCGAATGTCGACTTGCAGCTTGGCAAAGAGACCAGGACCATGATAGTTCCTCGAGCGAAAGCAGACTCCGCATCAGCCAAAGCCCTTGCGAGGGCTTCACAGGATCAAGCACGTGCTCATGAAGATTGGCACCAGACTCAATGGTCATCCGCGTCTTCATCGTGGAATCGCGACCGGGACTGGAGCCAAGGGTGGTGGCAAGATCGCTCAAGCCAATGGCAGCGTGATGATCGCTGGAACCGTGATTGGTGGAGCTCTCGCAACTGGTAGAAACATCCGCACGACGGGAGTCGTTGCCTTTGGATTCAAAATTGAAAACCAAACAAAAGGAAAACATCCAACAGGCAGCATGGCTCTGAAATGTGAGGCTGTTCTTCCTCCATCGCACCGCGGGAGCGGTTGCCGTTGATGATCGCTTCTGTGATGCACCGGGGGACCGGATGCCGAACTTCGCTTTTGCACCAGCAAGGTATAATTCGAATGTTGAAGGTCGAAGTACCTATCACATTGCAAGTCCAAGAGACGCACATACTTTTGTAGTGCTGATTCGCCACGCGGGAGCGTGTGCCGACCGGTGATGCTTCTGCTTTCTGAAAGGCCAATCGTGCACTTACCGCTTGATGCGTCAAAAGATCGTGCTGTTTCTTCATGAGATGACTCAATACACGTATAGCTTTGCAGTACGAGTGAACACTAGCATGAACTTGACAGTGACTTTCGTGCCCTTTGAGGTCAACTATCCTCTCCATCTCAAAGGCAGGAACCGGTTTCGTCCGAATCGCACGTACCGGGGGACCGGTTGCCTTCGTAGGTCCCGGTTCACTGTACAAGTCTTCGCTCCTCCCCATTTTCGTTCAGCGGGGGGTGTAGTTTCACGCTAGTATAATGACATTTACGTCTCACTCGTACGACTTTGGCTCAAGGAAAACAAGGTGCGACTAGGTGGCGCTTCTAGGTCGTTTTCCTGTAACTACAGAAAGACTTCGTTCAGCTTCGGACAAGGCAGCCAAGGTAGAGCGAGCGAGGCTTGTTGATGTGAGGCTGGCTCTCCTCCACCTCCTGCGCCGACCTCCCAGCCATGCGGCGTGGACATCGGCACGGCCGGCACAGTCGGCACGGTGATCCTGGACTCGGAGTCGGAAGATGAAAAGGGACGAGCTGATCAGTGGCGATGGGGGCTCGGGATGGGAGAGGAGGTGATCATCTCCAGAAGAGGAAGATACTGCATCATTTGGCAAGTTGTAGCTTCTTAGCTTCCTGGTGGCCAAGGGTGATTCTACCATCCCTGATGACCTCTTTTTGAGTGCGTAAGTACCTAGCAGCAGCCGACATAGATGTTTAAGACCACACACCTGGTCTTTCAGTGTTAACGGGAAGAAGTTCGTCCCTCTCCACTGATTCCTTGGCCACGGACTCCACGGACCGACTCGGTCTGTTTTCACTGACCTGACCTGACCTGACACCCTCTCGACGCAGCCTTTTTTCAGTGGCCGAGCGGTCAAGAATACGCGTCCCGCGGAGTCCCGAAGCTATCCAGCCAAACGCTCTTGTTGATGTTCAAGGTGGGCAGCCGATCAGCGTTTTGATGTCCTTTGGGAAGGGCACACAGACTTCTTCATGTGTCCCGGTGGGGGACCCGCTGGCAGGTTTTGGGGTTGGCTTTGTTGCCGGTGGCTGTGGCGTATGTCCGTTCAGCAACAGCTGTTCCGGGCCTCACGGTCGCCGGGAACGTGAGCAGTCCTCAAAAGAGGCTTTTCCGCATTGGACAGCGGGTGCAGACAGACTCTGAGTAGACCCAACAAACTTCCATGTTAGTGAGTCCGCCACACCTGAAAACACCATCGTTCTGAGTGATTCTTTCTCATCCCTGACAGTCTCTGGATTTGAGTGGTGTTGGGAGCAGGTGACACCATGCTTGGAGTTGTGCAACGTTGACGTTGACCCATCCTATTCCTTTTCATGTTTTGAGAGCGATAGTATACGACGGTCATATTGTACAGATATATATATATATACACATGTGGTTACAGTGTACTACAGCATGTTTTGGAAGTCCTTCAGTGGCCTATCGTGGCCTCCCCAGTTGGTTGCTAGGAATGGAATAAGTCCTTTGTGTCTCCAAATTCTAGAGGCTGCGAGACTGCTCCACCGACGAATCCGGACCACACTGGGAAGTCTCAGATGTTCCGCCCTTCAACCAGCTATGCTCCCTCACTCACTCCCTCACCTTAAGGGTGGGTGTCTACAGCACGATGCTCCAAATGATCAACCCGGGCCTTGGTGAGTTGAAATTGACCCTGGAGTGCTGTGGGGAAGCACAGCCGCTGGCCGATGTGGCCATGAACAAAATCAACTTGAACCAATACACCGAGCCGATCGAAGAGAAGGTGAAGAGAGACTTCGCGACCTGCCAAGAGACATGTACCTTTTGGTGTCATTTTTGTGGTATGCTTGGTAGGTACCTCTAGTATCTAGAACCTACAGAGTCATATCATATGGAGTCTTATGATCTAAGACGAATCTAGGAGTCAAGAATGAATGCCTAATCCTCGTAACCACCCTGACAAGTCCCGAATTGCAAAGTCCTCACGGTGATTCTGAGATCTTGCACTAGTTGCCTGCACCGCAAGGTTGGAAAGGGCAAGTGCAGCGCTCTTGAAGCAAAACAAGCGAATGTGACCAAGGGGAAAGCCAAGTGCACCTATCTCTACGACTATGCGGACAAGAATTGGCAAAAGTACAAGTACTCTGCCTACTGTGCCCCACCTCAAGTGGTTGTATACACGACTGTAAAGCAGGAAAAAGCACACCAATCCACTCACACTGGTGATGAGGTGGACAGGCAGAGTTGCAGATTAGTCTTTGGCCTCCAAACCCTTCAGAAATGTTGGTTCCAAAGAATGGCGCCCTTTGAACCGTTGTGCCATATTGCGGCATATTACGGGCTTTTGCTGTTAACCCTGCTGCATAAGCCAGCTACATGTTTTTACAGTACATGTTCCAACTAAGCCCACATTCTGGTGCAGCATTCAGAGACCCTTGTTCTTTCGCCAAGAACCTTTGGCTTAGTGTGGACTGTGGAAGCTTGATGGAAGCTCCGGGTCAACTGCCTCTCGCGCCGGGTTTCCCTTAAAGGTCCGCTTTGCAAGATTCCAAAGACCTTGTTTTGGACACCCCCTCCCTTCCCCAAACAAGCTGAGTCAAGAATTTGTCGACGGTGCCAAAACGACAGCACCACTTTGTACTTGCGATTGTTCCCGCACCAAAGCCTTGTCGCATCGAACAGCTGTGCCTTTGGGTGCCTTCGGGAGACCGAGACCCCTGAAGCATATGGAAGCACCTTGAAGCAATCTCTCCAAGCCGAAGCGACCCCCAAGCGGGACAAGTAACAGAACTGAGTGGAGCAAAGTCGATCACATGCCAGGAGTCACAAAAGGCGGGGTCCCGAACGTTGGAGGCCCCCGGTCACATCCACTGGATGGGACGAACCAAACCACTCCGGAGTTCGGTGACTCCTGGTGGGTGTTCTTTACATGTTCTTCTACACCTGCGATGTGCCCAGGTGTGCCCAGCGATGTGCTCTCCAATTTTGCCGGGCCGCAGAGCACGATCATGGGCTACGTCACGGTGCCTCAGACGAGGAGAAGAAAAACAGCAGGGACAGAAAGGATGATGGGTAGGCCACCTCCTAGAGGTCCTAGGTCAAGCATTTGCATCATTGGCCGAATTTGCGTTGCTTTCCTCCATTGGAGGTGACAATAGGATCAAAACGGGTCTCTTGAAAACTGATGAAAACTGAAGGTTTGTTGGTTTCAGTGGAGGGACAGCACATCTACAATTTTCGAATATATTCGATAATTATATACCGCGTAGGGTTCCAGAGTTTGAAGGGTAGTGGATGATACTGGAATGCTGGATAGTTTTTCACCTCGTTTGTCTCTTAGACCCTCCGCCTCGTCTAAGACGGACCCTCCTTCCCCAAAACGAAGGGTTTTTTCTCTCAGGTGGAGCGGGGCATGAACCGCAACGCCGGAGAGTTGGTCTACACCGCCAGAGGCTTCATCTCCTGGTGCTACAATGCCATGAACCAGGCAGGTCAGCCGCTTTTCGACCGGTCCGACCGCGGCCGGTCCAACTGGGTTCGGCACGGTTTGAGCCACAAAGGTTCTCAACTGGGTTGAGATGCCCATGGTGCCAAAAAGAGTATTTTTGTTTGTTGCTTTTTGGTGGGAGGGAGGGGTTAAGCTGTCCGAACAGGGGGCTCTATGGTATAGGCACACATGCTCCTTAAAATTGAATCATCTAGTGGGATGGGGTTCCAGGTCAGTTATTCAAAAAAACATGTTTTGAGGGCATTGGGCACTGGCATACTGAAGTAAGTACAGGTCAAGGCAATGATAGGTGCAAAGCACTGTGCAAAGCTTTTTCTACATGTATGTGCCTATGGAAATTACAAATACAGTTACAAATACATAGGTTGAAAATTGTTATTTGTTCGAAGTACCTACCTGAAGTACGTACAGGTCAAGG